AAAATAACGTACAATTCACTAACAACAAATAAATGAGACAACAATAGAGCTCCAAAGTGTCAATAGTGCAGGGTTTGCAATACCTTCATTGCAAAACATGTAGTACTCCTCATCAATCAATTCATGTGCTTCCTGCTCATGACGCATGGTGCCGCTTTGGAATACATCGATGTCATCTGCATTGTCGTCATACAGATAGTGATAACGGACACAATCATGTTATAACGACATGATGAGAATGAGCTTAAGAAACTGAGATTCGCAAATTCTTACCAGTGGCACCGGCAGAGTATGTCGGCATATTCGTCCCCGGATCGTCATCAGATGAATCATCTTTTGCAACCTGGGAGACGGGTGATGCGCGGCTTGGGCATGTGGGACATTCGGAGTCTGAGTTTGCTAGGTCTGTAAGGGGGATTGCGATGCATTCTTTGCACGGTGTTTTTTTCCTTCGGTCATAATTGGCCTTCCTCTGTGCACTTGACTCCCCCTTCTCATTCGCTGACATGCTTTTGCGGCGTTGCACGCTCCTCTCGCGTCTTTTTTCGTTCATTAATTCTCTGACCTCGAACGTTAATTCGTCACTTCTCTTCTGATGGCATGCTCTGCTCCTTGCGTTTTTCGCATCCCTTTGATCGTTTGTTAAATTACGTTTCCGCTCATTGTCAGTCTGCCTGCTAGCTAGAACAGTGTCCTGAATGATAGACGCCTGTAAAGTTGAAGGGGGACATGTTGCTCCCTCTTTCGTTAATTCTGTAACGCTAGGGCTATTTTGGTCGTCTGGATCAAAAATAAGTTCAATTCTTATTTAGTTAATTTTGATTTATCGGATTTGGAGGAGTCACTTATAGAATAGCAGGGACTGCCGTAGAAACGGATATTAAACGGACGCGCATACCTGAAGTAGCAGATGCATATTTGTTTTGATCCTGGATACGCTTATCCTTGTTCCTCCAATAAGCAGCTCACCTTAGGGCATTTCTATGGTCTCTCTTGTGTTCTTCTTCAGTTCTTTCATTTGTTTCTTGTATGTCATTCAAGATCCCGTCTGGAGCCATTACAAACATTACAGAAAATAAAAAATCATGGAACTAAGATGGAAGCAATTTCTGTTATAGTAGAACAAAATAACACTACCTTGTAGCTCTATGTCATTAACGATACCAGTGGAGACCTCCGTTGAATCAGGAAATGCCGACGCATCAAATGAGAATGATGTATAGTTAGAGCTAGTGTGGTTGCCTTGCATACATAAGTTGTCCAGACATATTATTGCTTATTGATAAAAACCGGTCTTAACATAATGATTAAATCATTAATAGCATACCTGATAAATGCAGGTCGTGTGCATGTTCAACTGTAACGGTAGATTGTTTCTTCCGCCGATAGGAAGCCCTCCTCAGGGCGTTTCTATGGTCTCTCTTGCGTTCTTCATCCATTTTATGCTCTGCTTCTTGGGTTTCTTACAAGATTACATTCCCGAATATTAGAGAAAATAACAGATACGCCCACGAAATTGGTGGATGATTAGGAACATTATGATCACCTTGATGCTCGGTGTCACAGATGATTCCAGAGGACATCGTATTTGAACTTGGAAATGACTTCGAGCTGGTTGGGTTGTCTGGTGAACCAGATTTGACCAAACAAAATTATGCTAATTGGTTAAGACGATACCAACTATAATGTTAAAAACATCTTGAACCTTACCTGTTAACACAAGGGTCTTTGCAGTTTCATCTTGGACATTAGGTACCTTTTTCCGCCGATAGGAGGCCCTTCTCAGTGCGTTTCTATGGTCTCTCTTGCGTTCTGCCTCCGTTCTATTCTCTGTTTCTTGGTTGTAATACTGGTTTGCTACTGCATCTGATGTCATTAGGGGGAAACACAATATTAGATAATATAACAGAAAAATGTGAGCAATTTGTTCAATGAGTACTCAAAATATGATCACCTTGACTTTCTTTCTCATTAACGAGACCAGAAAGGCCCGTAGTTGTAATAGAAAACGTTGACGCATCATGCGAGAATGCTGTATAGTTAGAGTTAGCTGGGTTGTATGGTTCACAAAAGTTGTCCAAACACATGTCAGCTAAATGGTTTTGACATACCGAATATCATGGATAATACTCTTTAAGCTTACCTGATGATTGAAGGGCAAGTGCATTTTCATCTTGGACATTAGGTTTAGTTCTCTCCCTATCTTCGAGAACATTTGTGATATCACATAGAGACTGGCGACGGGCAGACTTCCCAATGACTTGTTGGTTACCCAAAACATCTGACAACTTGTTGCGATAAGCAGCCCGCCTACGAGCGTTGATAAGATCCCTATGATCTAATAAGTGGCAAATTATTGTGCATCATATTTTCTGTTATCCGGGATATAAGCACAATATTACCTACTACGCAACATACGTATGCACATCAAACTAAGAGTGTCCATCAAGCTTACCAGATTTTGCAACTACCGGCTGATTCTCATTTTGTAAGCTGACAATATCCTCATTTCGTTTAATCCGATAAGCTGCACGCTTCCTTGCATTGTACTCCGCCCTTGCATTATCCGCGTATTTTTTGCATTCATTATTTAATGATAGAGTTTCATGATGTTCGGAAGCAGTGTCGTCTGCATGTATAAATACAAATAAGAAAACAAATAAAACGACGGTTGGGAAGGTGGATATCATGCCTATGGATACCTTGAGAATTATCTCGTAGCTGCATGTTATGAATGGCATGATGGAGTGTTAGGCTAGCCGTAGGTGTTAATGTTTGACCATCATCATGGTAGCCAGGCCTTACCTTTTCCGGTCCTTCTGTAGAGTATAGTAAGCATGAATACAACTTCAATATTTGTCTGGTATGCATGCAATCAATCATGTACCTGTCTCCGTCCTGTAAAAAGGATCAACATCTGCAGCTATGGATATGATGTTTGGATTACCATCTTTCATTTTTGTCACGCTCGTAGGTGCTGCAAGACATTAAGCATGGTATAAGTCATTGTTAGACTTGCACGTCAGGCATCACATCATAGTATTTTCACAATTTATATACCTGGCTCAATCGCGCAAATAGCATCTACTTGTTCATCAACGGGTATCAAGTTTGCATTGTATTCTTCAGCATGTTTTACGCTCGTCTGATCTGCAACACATTATGCAAGAAGCGTAATATTAGCAGAAAAGCAAGTATTCATAGTGCAGTGAACACTACCTGTAGCTATGCCGTCTTCTTGTTCATGTTCACCGGCTTTGCTTCTTGCATTACCCATTCGAAAATGAAATGACCGCTGGCTCTGGTGTTTTTGAGGCCTGGGAGATGATCAGATGGATATAATGTATGCAACATGAATGCAAGAGAGATGGCGAACTTGAAGGCATGAATAAGAAGGTACTTTAATTCAAAGCATCACCAGTCAATCATTGAGTTCCTCGACTTTATTCTATATTGAACTTTACGCAGATCTTGAACTTTAATCTAAACATAGAACACATTTAGCAAAAGGCACATGTAGAGTGCCTGTTAGTGATTACGCAGATCATGGATAAATTGTACAGTGCGTTTTATACATGTCAAGCTGAGACCTGCACAATGATCCTCTTATTCTACCTCGCTGAACTATCGATAAATATTGATTATACTGAACTTTGTTCTTTCTTTGCTGAATAAGAACTCATCTTTTCTCCTTTCTCCTTGGTGTTAGACCAACTGCTGTAGCAGTGGCTAATGTTTCTACTCGAAGAGTGGAATCCTGAGTTCTGATGTTACGGAATATTCCTTTGGCAGGCTTAGGCTGGAGTTTGCCATGTGATATTTGGAGTGTTGGTTGCATCCTCGTTGAGCTATGCTCGGTTAGATTGCTTGTGATGCCTGTCTTTCCTCTTTTACCTTGATATATGGTCCTAACCCTAAAGTTTATAGGGGGAGACATTGTTTCAGACACATGAGAACCTGGAACACCTAGCAATGATGGAGAGGGTTTTGGGACCCATACCAGAGAGCACATGATACGGAAGGCTAGGTTCGTATTTATACCGTTAATTTGATTATCATTTGTTAATTACTCGTTGAGCTATCATTAACAAACAAATTATCTCCATCTGTGTCCTGGAGGTCCAGGATTACTTTGAGAACCAAACCCTTATTATTGGGCTTGTTTCTCAAGAGAATGGCAGTATCTCCACTTGTATCCTGGAAGTCCAGGGTTTGAGTCAGTATCCTTAAAATGTTGGTTAAGAACCTAATATTTCCCTTTCCCAGGACCCCACAACAAGTGGGAGCTTTTGATTCTGGGATAACCTTTGGTTATATTTTTGAGAGTGAAATATATATCATTCTCCTTTTCACTAAAGCTTCTGCATCAAATGTTTTGAAGAACTCTGGCACGTCCTACCTGCAAAGAAATATTTCTTTTATTTTTACACGCAGTCACATTTTTTTTGGCTGTGGTTCCTTAAGTTCTACGGTTTATAGTTGTTCACTGGTTTGCTACTCAGAAGTAGTTTTGGCTCCTTTGCACTAAAGCTTCTGCATCAAATGTTTTGAAGAACTCTGGCACGTCCTACATGCAAAGAAATATTTCTTTTATTTTTACACGCAGTCACATTTTTTTGGCTGTGGTTCCTTAAGTTCTACGGTTTATAGTTGTTCACTGGTTTGCTACTCAGAAGTAGTTTTGGCTTGCATCTATTCTGTTATTGATTTGTATATTGTGAGTTTCATACCATTGTCTTTGTGTCTGTATGTAAATTTCAGATATGTCTTGTGTGCATGTGCTGACAGTGTGTATGTAATGGCTGTGTATATAAAATCATGTAAATTTCACGTCTGCTATGTAGGTTCATACCATTGTCTTTGTGCATGGATGTAAGTTCCAGATCTGGATGTAAATTTCAGATATGTGATACCTGGAGGGCGGATCTTGTACGCCGTTGAAGCTGGCGCCATGTCTTGGACCTGTCCAGCGTGTCCAGAAGGGGATCCGCGCCGGCGCAATGGATACCGGCGGTTTTGATCCGCGCCGGATCCTCGAAGCGCTCAGCGGGGAGTCGTGCCGCGGACCAGCGCCGGAGCAATGGAGGGATGGCGGTGAAGGACCGATGGGCGGCGGCGGGCGAAGGAGGGCACTCGCAAGATCCAGACGAGACCTCGCTCGAGGGCACGAGTACTCGTTCGAGACCAATGCCGTTTTTTTTTCGCTGATTAATCTTCGACGGTCTGTGGCCAGCGGTTTTTTAGGTTTTTTTTGCGTTCATCTCAGATGATAAGAATGGGAGGTTGTGCAGGTGCGGGACTCCATCGTAGGTTTTTTTTGGGTTTTCCACGGTTGGGAGGGAGGTGGGAAGTAGTATCAAAGAGGTACCAAAATAGACCGGGGTAGGTGAGACGAAAATAAACCCGGAACGCGACCTACCAACTGAGACATTAGGAGTAGAGAAAGGTTTTTGACACTTAGCTCGGATTGGGCCCACCATACACGTGCCAGTTGGGTCCCAACACGAGCTCCTTTGGCGCACCCCCGTGGACCCACCTGTCAGTTGCACTGACCGCGCTTCTCCCACGCCCCCCACCTACATCCCCAAAACAATATCCCCAAAAACATGTTTCTCAGGAAAACCAATCGTACTTGTTGAAACCCTAGCGCCATCTCGCCGCCGGCGATGTCCGCTTGACGGACGCGCCGCCGAGAAAGCACCAAACTCCTCCGAGCCCTCCCCTCTCTCTGATCCGTCGCCCGCCCGCGGGATCCGGATCGTCTTCAGCCATGTCAAAGGCCAGGGTCTACGCCGACGTTAACGTGGTGCGCCCCAAGGAGTACTGGGATTATGAGGCCCTCGCCGTCCAGTGGGGGTGAGTCGAATCCGCCCGTAGCCAACCTCGCCCTAACTCTCAAGTTCTTTTTTTTTTCTCTTTTCGTTCCCGTGGCGCATCTGCGTGTCGTGGATCCTTTTCGTCTGTTCGTTGCGAGGCAGTTCAGGGACTATATACAATGGCGCTTCGACTTCTCGATGCGTCTTCGGAGGTCTTGTCACGCACGAGCGTGACTGTGCCGTGCGGTTAGAGAAGGCCCGCGTGTTGTAGATTGAGAGGGGGAGTTGCCAGATGTGCTTGCTCAGATAATTCCGGCAGTTGCTTGATTGCTTCGCTACAATATATCCGACTTCAGTAGTCACTTACTCGATCTCACTGTTTCGTGATACTTTTGGTAGTTCAGTACGAAATTATGCGTCTGTACATCTTACGTGGACTTTGGCAGATTATTCATAGTTTTATACATCTTTAGTGGACTTTCATTAACTTTCCACAAATTGAGCACCCGAATCCAAATGTCAGATTCTGTCACCCGTGCTCATTTACCAGCAATATTCTCCCTGTCCAAATATTTTGCTGAATTGGCAAATTGGGCACTTGAACCTGTCTTGGACTACAACACCAGCACCCAAGTGGAACGAACACTGTCCATGACCTCTATATGTTCTAATTTTATTGTTTTGAACAGTTGCTAGTTCGTGTGTTTTCCCCTTCTTGGAAAGCGTGCTGCTCTATTAATGTCACACTTTGTTGATTGAGCTGGACTGATTATTTCGTGTTATCGCTAGTTTTTCAGATAATATATGGTTGTATTTTCCAAAAAATATCATATCATACCTAATTTTAATCTCAAAGCAGCTGTTCCAAGTAAAAACCACATTTACATTAAGGCCCATGCTGAAGAGAATTTACTCCTGTTCTGTTTCTGTTGAATTGATAATTCCGCTCAGCAACATGAGATAAATAAGGCTCCACTGTTGGAGACCTTGATTTGTGAATTAGTATATGTTTAATAAATACAGTGATATGCAACTATATTTGAAATTGTAACAAGCTCTGCCTTTGTGTAACTTCTCATTGGGACCCAGACATTTTTTTGTCCTCCCTTGAGCTTGACATGGGGTTTTATTGCCCTCTTATTTTTATATAATGAAAGAGGATAGAACTCAAGTATGAAGCATCAGTTTGTAGAAGTTGGGTAATTTGACCTTTGTCTTGCACGAAAAATATATGTACTCGTTTATTTTGATGTAACAATACCCCAAAAGTGTCATGAGATATCTTTATAATAGTTAGGTGTTTTCTCTTTGTTCTCCATCATACAAACAGGAAAAGAAAATCCTATGCCTGGAACAATCCAAACTGATTACTTTTAGCATGCTAGCTGCAAGTATCCCTGCCCCCACAAGGATAGTACACTTACCATTTTGGTTTGAATGGTGTGGTTATTTGTTACTTCTGGTCCCTCTGAAAGATATCATGTGATTGTTAAATTACAGAATGTCCTAATGGACCAGTACATCCAGCGATGAGTTCTGACTGTTATGATGTTTTTCAATCAGTGAGCAGGATGACTATGAAGTTGTGAGGAAAGTTGGAAGGGGCAAATACAGTGAAGTCTTTGAAGGTATCAACGTCAACAATAATGAGAAATGTGTTATTAAGATCCTGAAGCCTGTGAAGAAGAAGAAGGTAACTTATCTGTGCCTTATATGGTCACGGTTTAACTATGATTTTAGTTTTTTCACGTTTGTCATGCTTATCCAGATCAAAAGAGAGATCAAAATACTACAGAATCTCTGTGGAGGTCCAAATATTGTGAAGCTGCTTGATATTGTCAGGGATCAGCATTCAAAAACACCAAGCTTGATCTTTGAATACATCAATAACACAGATTTCAAAGTGCTATATCCGACACTGACAGATTATGACATTCGCTATTATATCTATGAGTTACTGAAGGTATGAATCTTTCCCAAGTTTCTGTTGATATAATATTGCCAAGAACACTGATTGTTAAAACATCTAAAACTTTTTTTGCTCTTCTGATAAAGCCTTGAAGATACATTAAATACTTACATGTGTAACTGTCTAGTTTGAACATCTGGCTAGACTCATTTCCTAGGACCCTTTCTTATGTTCGTGGATGATATTTGTGATAGTAAGGAATGAATAATCCCTTATCAATGCTAACAAGCAACCATACCAGTCAGTGTTTTTCCCCTCTTTTGAGGAGACCAAGACAAGTTGCTGTTAATTTGATTGCTGGACCTAGATGTTTCGTATCCTATATTCTAGTTATGATTTATCACAGTTTCCATTTCCGTGTGCAGGCTTTGGATTACTGCCATTCACAAGGCATTATGCACCGAGATGTGAAGCCTCACAATGTTATGATAGATCATGAGCTTCGAAAACTCCGGTTAATAGACTGGGGCCTTGCTGAATTCTACCATCCTGGAAAGGAGTATAACGTTCGTGTTGCATCAAGGTAGGTACATAGAAATACGTTGTTGCTATTTAATTATATTAAACCTACTTATTGATACCAAATAACCTTATTTGCTTGTGCACTTCCCAACAATTGGTCTTCTTCTGGTCACTTGTGAGGCAATACACAGCCAAAATTTAGTTTATTTAAATCAACATTTTATGTGGAAAGGGTATTTCTTTTGGTAATATTTGTTTTCATTTGTAGAAATCTCAACGTCATAATACACATGAACAGAATGAGTGATGTGGTGAATGATTGCTTCGTACAGTAGTTAATGCTCCATTACGTAACTTGCATATTCCAAATATTTCCATATGATCATTTTCAAAATATTTGCTGACATTTCCTTTTTCACTGGGATTTAGGTACTTCAAGGGACCTGAGCTTCTTGTTGACTTACAAGATTACGACTACTCTTTGGACATGTGGAGTCTTGGCTGCATGTTTGCTGGAATGGTATGACCGCCATGATAGTACAGTTGATATTATTGATAGCTTTCTTTTGTATCTCAGACTTTTGTTCAACTGGTGATGATCTTATGAATCATGTATTGTTGGTTGCAGATATTCCGCAAGGAACCATTTTTCTATGGCCATGACAACCATGATCAACTTGTTAAAATTGCAAAGGTGCTTATTAAGTTTATTCCTTTTATTCTTTGTAAAGATAGGTTATAACTGATAAAAGGATTATTTTTGGTGGCATCTGATATTCTTTAGAGTTGCCATATATCATTTGCTATTATTTACCTTAGTGACTGAGTGGTTCTGGCTCAATGTTTTGATGAATTTGTACTCATGCTCACATGTAATTTCTAGCTTTATTCTAGCGGTGTAGTCCTGTTTGAACTTAACATGAGCGCTAAGTCTGACCACACCCCTGTATTCACAGGTACTTGGAACAGATGGGCTAAATGCTTATTTGAACAAGTACAGAATTGAGCTTGACCCTCAGCTTGAAGCCCTTGTTGGAAGGTATATCGCCACCCAGCACTAATTTTGATGCAAGATCTCTATTTGTCATCTAATTTACAGTTTCTATAATTTCCACACAGGCACAGCAGAAAACCCTGGTCGAAGTTTATCAATGCAGACAACCAGCATCTAGTATCCCCTGAGGTCTGTCAATAATACATATATATCTCAAGTATACTTTACTAGCAGTAACCTGTTCCTGGTTTCTCAACGAGGCCTTTTCCTCTCCATTTTAGGCCATAGATTTCCTTGATAAGCTTCTGCAGTATGATCACCAGGATAGGCTCACTGCACGTGAAGCTATGGTAAGTCTTACTGTTTTCGACTGGTTGTAAAGTGGCTCCCAGCCAATCGTGCTTAATGTCCATTTGACCATGCAATTATACTTTCTTTTCTCATCTCCAGCTCCTTGGTGCTGCATGATGTGTTTGAGCATTTGGTTTGTGGATAGATTGATTAGTGCGGTTGCTTAGAGGATGTCATGTTTGGAGTTACAATGGTTCCTGTTCTAATTTTAAAGGTGTAATGCAGGCACATCCATACTTCCTCCAGGTGAGGGCTGCCGAAAACAGCAGGACTCGTGTGCAATAGCAATAGCAAGACTGTTGCTGACATTGAACGAGCAGCGCTTGATGAAGCGCATCCTTGTAGTGACTTTGTCATGTATTATGACTCGATAATGGTTGGGTCAGCTGGGAAAGGTAAGAGCCTGTGTGGTGTGTGCCTCTCATCGACGAGGCGGAAAAGAACTGTGATTTGCTCCTGTTGTTTGTGTATGGAAACCAGATTGATTGAAACTTCGCAACACACTTTTCATGTAACGTGTTTGGTAACATTGTACGATTCTGCTTGTAAAGAATATCATTGGTAAATTGCTTTGGATTCAAAATTCTGTTTGGTCACTGGATTATTAGCTTGTTATTTTGATGAGCCGTCCAACTCCTTTCCTATTGGGATCCATCATTTCTAATAAAAAATCAAGTCTCTTTCTTCTGTGGTTCCGGCCAGATCGCAGTCAAATTGCCGTCCCAAGAGCATCTCCAACTGCTCCACTATGTCTAATCGCCGTTTGCGGCAAGTTGGGGGGTAGAAAGGTCTCTTCAACGGTTCCTGAAAGTGGCCATAACTTAACTCGAGAGGCTCCCGTAAACTGGTCCTTTTCTTCCATAGTAAGATCATGAAGTAGCACACGGTTGTGGAGGAGCAACTCCACCTTACTGTTATAGCGAGTGTTGAAGGAACAACTTCAATGTGTGCGCTAGATATCGCTTTAGAAACATGAGCAGGGCCAAATCTTAAATGAGAACATCAAGTTCTATAATAGGTAGTGGGGTATATAGTCTTGTTACAAACTAGAGGTGACGACCTTTATTTTTAGGACTATGAGAAGCCTTCACATACTCCTACTTATAGGTATAACGCTTTAGAAAACATTATCTAAGATTCATCATTCCACTAGCTAGAAGACTCTAAAAGACAGTAGGTAGGGTTGAGAAAAGAAAAAAAAAAGAAATATTAGACTACAATAGAAGTATCTAGAAGTAGCAAAACATATTTGGCATATGATTTTATTTTTATTTTTGTCATCTATTGTTCCTCGTCATTTTTCTCTGGTTGTATATATGGAACTCGACCTTGAGTTATCTTTTCATGGAGAGCTTTTTTCGGATGGTAGAGAGTCAAGTCCGCAATGTTGAAAGTGTTGAATATACCCATGTCACTTGGAAGATCTATCACATGAGCAGTATCATTTGTCTTCCTCATAATAGAGAAGGGCCATACTTTCGCCGCCTAAGCTTCCCTTCAACACCTATAGGCGGCCTCTCTTTTTGGAGGAAAAGCATCACCTTATCACCGACTTGGAATGATTCCAGTCTCCTTTTGCGGTTAGCAAGTTGTTTATATTTCTGATTTTGTCCACCAAAACATCACAAATCTCTTCAAATAACTCAGTGTAATTATCAGCAAAGGATAATGCTGATTTTGAGTTTCCCCTTGATGGTACATCAGGTCCACCACATGTATTGGAACTTTAGTATAGATAATGGAAAAGGACTCCTTCCTGTGAATCTATGCTTGGAGTTATTGTAGGAGAACTCTGCAAGAGATAAATCCAAATCCCATTGTCCCTTTCTTTTTCCACAAATGCAACGGATTAAATTACCCAAAAAATTGTTTACCACTTCCGTTTGTCCATCTATTTGTGGATGAGCAGTGCTAGAAAATTTTAATTCAGTGTTGAATTGTTTACACAAAGTGAGCCAAAATGCAGCAAGAAACTTGCTATCACAGTCTGAGACGATGGTCCTTGGAACTCCATGAATTCTGACCACTTCTCGAAAGAATAGGTATGCCACATGATGAGCATCCGTTGTCTTGCGACATGGGATGAAATGAGCCATTTTAGAGAATCTATCCATGACCATGAACACGACATCACTCCCTTGTCTTGTTCTTGGTGGAGTCCATAGAGATGTCCTCCCATGGAGCAACAGGAACATGCAAAGGCATGTATAACCCTGTGTTCTAGACTTGGCCTTTGCAGGTTTGACCTATGGGGCATCACAGAACAAACTTTCCAGCATCTCTCTTTAGTTGTGGCCAAAAGGAATGAGCTTCCAGGTTAGCGACAGTCTTTTCTCGTCTAACATGGCCACTAAGATCACTTGAATGGAGCTCTCTAATTAGTTTGTCATGCAGAGAACTCCTTGGGATGCACAAATGATCATTTTTAAGAGATAGCCATCATGCACCAAATAATAACCACCTAATGGTTGGCACCTAAGGTGCTTTACCCAAACATGTCCAAAGTCTTCGTCATCCCCATACAACTCCTTTATTTGATCCATGCCTGGAAGTTCAGCCTCAAAAGAAGTCAAGGGGCATGCACGATGATTCAAAGCATCAACCACTCGGTTAGTTGTTCCAGATTTATGTATGGTGAGATAGTTAAACCTCTTGAGATATGTTGCCCATCTTGCTAGCATGCGATCAACATGCTTTTGGTTTCTAAAATGCTTTAAGGTTTGATGGTCACTATAAATGATGAACTTTTCAGGCAGCAAATAGACTTCCCAAGTTTTCAAAGCTCTGAAAATGACATACAATTCTTGATGATAAGTACCCCATCTTAGCCTTTTTTTTGCTTAATTTCTCACTGAAGACAATAATGGGCTTCCTTTCTTGAGATAGATCAGCTCCAATGCCTACTCCTTTGCATGTTTGACCTATGGGCATCGCTGAACAAACTTGCACCAATTATCGAATGATCTTCTAGGTTTTGCTTGATTCTTTCTTCAAACACTCGATAATTGGTGCCATGACAGTGCTAAAGTTCTTTACAAATCGCATATAGAAAGTTGTAAGGCCATGAAAACTTCTTACCTCAGAAATGTTATTCGGAGTTGGCCATTCTTAGATTGCTTCAACCTTAGAGTCAACAACACGAATACCATTGCATGTTATGACGAATCATAGGAAAAGAAGTTGTGTTTGTAGGAAAACACATTTCTTGAAGTTGACATAGAGATCATTTCCCTTAATACTTGTAGCACCTTCCGAATGTGGTCAAAGTGTTCATCCTCATCCTTGCTATAGTCAAGATGTCATCAAAATACACCACACCAAAATGGGATAAGAAGGGCTGAATGACTTGATTCATCAAGTGCATAAAGGTACTTGGCGCATTTGAGAGTCCAAATGGCATGACTAGCCATTAAAAAATACCTTCCTTTGTCTTGAAGGCTGTCTTCCATTCATCCCCGGGTTTGATACAAATTTGATGATATCCGCTTCCTAAATATAGCTTTGCGAACACTCTTGCTCCACTAAGCTGATCCTACATATCATCCAGATGGGGAATAAGGACTCTACAACTTACGGTGATCTTGTTAATGGCTCTACTATCTGCACACATGCACCAAGATACATCTTTCTTTGGCATGTGCAGGGCTAGTACAACACATGGGATAATACTTTCTCAAATGTGCCCCCTTTGTAGCAATTCCTCCGCTTTCTCCTTCAATATATCATGCTCTTTTGGACTCATTTGATAGTTTGGAAGATTAGGAAGGCTTGCTCCCGAGATTAAGTCGCTTCTATGTTGAATTCCTCTCATCGTTGGCAGGCTCCAAGTATGTTATGAAATTCTGCTAATAAGCCACATACCTTTGCTGGAATTTCAATAGTCGAGGTGCTCTTCTCCTTTAAAATAAGTGCATCACACAAATCTGCCTCCTTTAAGTCTTCCATAAACTCAATAGAGGTGAGGGAGATAGTTACATACTTTTCCCCTCCTTTGAGATATTACCATCAGTTTTGTTTGGTAGAATAATGATCTTTCTATTGTTCCAAATGAAAGAGTAAGAATTTTTCTTGCCCCTGTGTGTAGTATCCACATCAAATTGCCAAGGTCTCCCAAGAAAAACATGGCTGGCGCCATATCAAGTATGTCACACAACACATTCGAGCGACAATGCTTACCCAAAGAAAGTGGCAAATTGCATTGTTTGGTGATCCTCACATTCACTTCTTTATTGATCCATCCAATGGTGTAGGGGTTTGGGTGATCATGAGTTTCAACCTTTAAATGGTTCACCAACTTCTAGGAGATACAATTTTCACAGTTGCAATGTAAGTCACGTGACCTCTTGAAGAGGTGGACTAGCAGATGTAGGGGAAAGTAGGTGTACCGGTCCGCCCGGAGTAGAGAGTTAATGTTTCAGAAAGACTATGTCTCGATCACCCGATCATGGATGCGGTCGAGTATTGTGGGGAAAAGTGCGCAAACCTCTGCAGAGTGTATAAACTAATCATGGTTAGCTGTGTCCCCAGTTATGGACATCTTGAGTATCTAGTACTTGAATCTATTGATGTGATCTCATCACTTTACTTAATGAACTTATAGGGTTAATGATGATACTTTTAATTGGGATTTGAGTTGGGGTTACCTTCTCAAATATTGGGCAACTTGGGAGTAGTTAAATAAATTTATTCCTTTGTTGTAGGAAAAAACTAGCTTTATGCAAAAACTTAAACTTACAGCCTCCACCAGCCAAATATTGCATGTAGAGATAGTTCTTGCATTTCATTGCTTTACAGTGTAACTCTGCCAGCATATTCAATGTGCTGACCTACATGGCTGCAACGTCTCATATTGCAGACTACTCAGACGATGAATAAGGTACGATAGGTCGTTGCTTTGCACTCAGCTATGCCATTGGAGTTGATGGACTCATTTACCTTCGAAGCTTCCGCAATTATTTAGTTTAGATGGCCTTCAGCCATGATATTTTTGTGTAATCATACTCTTTATGAGGACTCGATGTAATAAGTGTGTGATTGAAACTCTGTTATAATTCTTAGAGTACTGTGCGTGTCAGCATTACCGATCCAGGGATGACACTGATGCACAGAGACTTGACCGTTTGAGGCCGGGTCGCTCCAAGATGGTATCAGAGCACACGCTGACTGTAGGACACGACCACTAGAATAAGCCACATGATTTCTCTTCTCTACTCATTTCTAATTCTCCTCTCTTTCTACTCTATAGATGGTGGATCCCAGGAGCAAGTTCACTTAGCCGGATGACG